CCCGGTGTGGTTCCCAACCCCACAGGCAGGACCCAGAGGAAAGTCAGGGCTGGTTTTGTTTGTTTGTGGTATGTGTAGGGTGTGGATGGTATGTGTGTTCGTGTGCAAGGGAATGCATGCACACATGTATGAACCTGTGTGTGGAGGCCAGATGTCTATGACCGTGTCTCCCTCCAGCACTCTCCACTTTATTGTTGGAGGCAGTCTCTCACTGGGCAAGAAGAGCGCCGATTTGACTCCAGGGATCCTCCTGTCTCTGCTTCCTCACTTCTAGGGGCACAGGTAGACACCATCACACCTTTTAGTACATGGGCATTGGGAATCTGAACTCAGGTCCTCATATTTGGACAGCAAACACTTTATGAACCAAGGTATCTCCCAGCCCCAGCCAAGGTTTTTATTCTATCTTTTGAATTACATTTATGTATGCATGTGTGTCCACGTGTGTATGCCATGACACACGTGGAGAGATCAGTGGACAACTTTCAAGGGCCAGTTCTCTCTTTCTCCCATGTGGGTTCCCAGGATGAAGCGCAGGTTGTTAGGTTTGGCGGCAAGTGCTCTAACCCATCTTACCGCTAAGCCACTGGCTGCCCATCCACCTTCACCCTGGTAAAATTGTAAACAGTGTCCCCATCTCCCTGGGACATGCTCCCTATAGCCCAGCCTCTCCTCCCCACCCAGAACACTGCCTTTACTCCCTCCCTCCACAGGAGAGCTGGGTCCCAGAGTACCAGATGCTGTAGAACCGAGACAAAGTTGGAGGTGAATGCTCTGCTTATAGCCAGCAGAGGTTACTGAGAAACCAGCTTGTCCCGGGACTGCAGTGCTGGGGACGGGTAAGAGAGGATGCTTCCGTTCCCTGTGGCATTTCGACCCCACCAGGAATGTGGCTTTGGGCCAGGATCCCTCTGGACAAGAAAGGATGACTCTGCAGAAACAGTGTCCTGGCCCCGGAATGAGTGGAGCCACTATGTTGGAGGCAGGAGCCAATTGGCCTTGGAAGAATTAATGACCACCCGGCCTTCAGCCCCACCCTCCCTTCCCAGTAGCCCCCCTCCCCCCCCCTTTAGAAGTGTCCTCTGGGCTGAGGTTTTAAGACCCTCAGTGGCAAGAGTTGAGACATGTGGGAGGGGCCCGGAGGAGGAATTGGTGACAGTGACTGGGGGAGAAGCTGGCAGCCTAATTTAAGACTTGCAGGCCTGGGCCCGAGGAGTGAGCCTGGGCAGGCTGCTCGTGGGGAATTCCAGCCTTGGCCAGCCGCTTGGATGCACATGTGTTTGGCCAAGCACAGAAAGCCACAAAGCAGCTTCTTCGTTCTTCCAGACCTGCTTCTGAAAACTAGGGCTCAGGAACCTTGGGAAATGTCTCTGTTACCAGAAGCGCCTCATGCATGGCACCGTCCCGACACCACCAGGGTTATAATGCCCCTGCGGTAGCTCCAGCCTTCTGCACACATGTAGACCACTTAGCAGATCCAGATGAGGATGGAGGGGTAAGAATGACCGTCCCATGGCTGGGCTGGCCATGGCTGCTGGCGTTTGTTGAGTGTTCCCCACACACCCTCCTAACCACTATAACTAATGTCAAGCATTCCTCCCAACGGTCCCAAAAGGGAAGTAAGAAACCGCACAGCAGGTGAAATACTCTGTCCAGTCCCCGGGCCAGATAAATTCTAAGCCCGCTTGGCATGTGCCCTCCTGCCCCTACCCTGGGAAAAGGGTAGGCGGATAGATAGCGTTCCCACAGCCTTGCCCCCTCCTCCGCATCTCACACAGTGACTGAAGGTCATCAGGGTCCGTCTCTGGAAACTCTGACCCCTGCCTAGGAAGCATTGCAACATCTGAGTGTTCAGTGTCACATATCACAAGGTGCTTGGCGCTCTCAAACAGCCAAGACTGGGACCTAAGGCGAGGTGACATGAGCCGGTCTCCTGACTTACTGTCGGGTGACTTAGACTCTGGTCTCTCTCCCCAGCTCTGGGCCCCACCTCTGAAAAAAGAGAGCGGACTGTGAGTGTTCTCTGTCACCTACAAGATGGAAATGGCACATGTGGTCCCTGCAGCCAGGGACCTGGCCGGAAGGCTAGCAGAGCACGGTGGCAGACAGCGGGGTGCTGCGGAGGCTGGGAGAACTCAGCAAGTCCAAGGCTGGCATCGTGCTGCTGGGGTGCCAATTCAAGAGAGGGGCCAGCGTAGAAGAGGGGACAGCTCCTTTCCTCTAGTCAGTCCGCGTGACTGAGACCACTTAGGGGCGACCTAAAAGGCTTCCTTTGGTGAGGCCGAAAGCAGCGGAATGGCTGTGTCTTCCCAGGAAAACCGCCTGCGCAAGTGTGGTAGGCTGGCGTCACGTGACTGCCGGCCCCGGCAAGTGTCCTGTTTGCCAACTTCCTTCTGTTCTGCTCTAACCTGGATTCTGCTGGTTGACTGGTTCCTGTTGCCCCAGTAACGAAGCAATAACGGAGGTGGCTGGGAATGGCTGCGTGAAGTCACTTACTTATCACAAACAGGCCCAGGGCCAAGCAAGGGTGGTTACAGCTTGGTAGACTTAGTCACTCCCGAAACCAAATATGGCCTCAAGATGGTCATAAATACACACAAAACAATGGACCTCCGAAGGACACACCTTGGTTAATTTAAGAACCTTTGAAATGATGAAGGGATTATACCATCCTATCGCCAAGCTGATTTTATTATATTCTACTGGCGAGGCTGTGATGTGTACAGTTGGGCTACTTCCCAGTTACTCCATTCCCAAACTCTTTCATAGAGTTTATCAACAACACAAGTCCATTCTGTTTGGGCCGCTGCTGTGGCTCCGATCTGGAACATCCTGTAGTGGTTTTTCTTTTTGGAAAGATCATCTGCCTCCTAACCTCTTAGTAACAGGACTTTGAGGGCTAACGGCCGATGTATTATCCCAACAAATTATTATGACTCGTGGGCAAGCAAGCCCGCAGCAGCCAACCGAGAGCACCCTCTGATTACTGGTTTATTTACTTTAGGCCATTGGACGTCACCGGCAGCCACCACCGGCCACACTCGCTTTGTTAGATGCCTGCGAGGATTTTTCCCAATAGCCACCCAGCCAAGGCTTTTAGAGTCATCCAGTCCTCAAGGTTCTCAAAACATTGTTTCCTTTTTTTTTCCTGGAAGCCTCTGGAGTGTGTGTTGACTTCCTCCTGCTCTGAAGCACCCTGCAAGCTACCTGATTGCACCTTCAGAGTCCCCTTGGGCAACACTAATCAGGTTATTGATCTGTCGGGCTGCAAGTGAAGTAACAGCAGCTCCAACAGCGGGGGGTCCTTGGTTGCAGTCCCAGGCTGTCACCAGCAGAGCAGAAATTGAATCCAGGCCTGCTGGAGCCTGCAACCTCTGCTGTTCTTGCTGGTTGCATTGAAGCATCGGTGCAGAGAAGCAGTTGCATCTTGCAGGGATTTTTGGTCTCCACAAGGCTGTGCTTTGGAGAAGAGCACATGAGGGTCATGGACGCAGATACACAGGTCAAAAGCCAAAGACTGTGTATCTATCTGGCGCCGCTAAGGCCAGCAGTTACGGCCATGTGGGGCTTGCCTGTCATTCCCTTTGGATCTAGTCCTTTCTGATCTTGAAGTTGAGGCTTGTGGCTCTCTATCTGTGTGGGATAGGAATAAAATGTTTAAAAACAGATATCATTTATTCCTAAGAGTCAGTCACACATGTTACTTCTACGTCTTTATTCACACCTTAAAAACCTAAGGATGTGATATTGTTCTCGCTTACAAATCAGGAAACTGAGGGTTGGCATTGTGGCGTCTTGCTCTACATCACACAAATCGGTTCTTACTGACACACGCCTACTGTCTACTTCCCAGAACGCCCTTGCTCACAAAGGGACCCTGGAGCCTGTGCTGGAAGGCACCAGCTGACACCGGTCCCTTCTAATGGAGGTTTCTTCAGACTGTAACACCTCTTCATAAAATTTGCAAGTATATGATTTTTTAAAATATTCTTTTTCTAAAGGGGCGCTATTCTAGAATGTAGAACCCCCAGAGTCCTCTGGGAATCTTGATTCATCCTACTCAGATAAACGCCCTACGTAAAACTGACTGCCCTCCTCTATTTCCTCCCAACTTCCGTTTCCTTCTCCTTAGCGTCTCCACTAATGTATCATATGCCTCATGTACTAACCACCTTATCTGTTACACATCGCCAGCCTTGCTCAACACATTTTCTGCTGGTGAACAGATGTGGCCATTATCCGTGCTCTTCTAGCAGCTGTGTAGTAAATGGAACTGTTATTATTTCCATATTCTGGACAAGTCATGTGCTCAGAAGAAGCCACTACTTCCCATTTGCTGTGCTGCCTTTGAACTTGGCCCTGGCCAGGCTTTCTCCAGCTACAGCATCATAATCTATCAGAGCAGACATAATCTGCCTGATGCCTCAGCCCTGATTCATTCTTCTACCCCTCAGCAAGCTTCCCTGGTGACTCAGACTTTACCAGTTCCCTTCTTAAGAGCTCTTCAAATTAATCACTTCGGTGACAGATTTATTTTCAGAGCAGGGCACATTAATATGTGTTTGTTGAAAAGAATACCTGGCCCCTCAGCATCTAGAATTGATTCTCAATGGATCAAAGATTCAAACGTTAAAAAAAAAAAAAGCCAAAAGACAAAGGAAAATGTAAGATTCTGGGGGAAAGAGTAGGGGCATACAGTTCACAGAAGACAAACCAAAGGCCAGCAATGGAACAAGATCTTGAAGGTGCGGGGAGAATAAAACTCCCCTGTGCTCTAGATAGGTGTCCAAGTTGGTCATTTTTAGAAGGCAAAACTGGCAATTCTTTCAAGATGGCAAATGTTCAGTCTACTTTTCTCCAGAAGCTCCACTTCTGGGTATGTGTCCTACAGCAAGCAGAATCCCCACGAGCAAACAAAAGGGCATGGAAAAAGTGCTCTGCAGGCTCGTTTGGAATAGCACACTGACTGGAAACCACCTAGGTGCCTGCCCATGGAGACAGCAAATAAAATGGAACCCCAGGCAGATGTTTAGGAGACTGTTGCACATTTACTAATATTCAAATGGAGAGATGTCAAAAAATGCCGACAAACTGCAAGAAAATGTCAAGTTGAAGAACAGTATTTTAGAGCAACCCTAGTTTTATTAAGAAAGCAAGACAGCATCATTTATTAAGATTGAGGCGAGCCTGAAACACATGAGATTTTCAAATGAAACAAATGAGAAGTGGGGGACGGAGAGGGAGAAGAAGAGGGGGAGGAGGAATTGAAAGAGCTAGACAGCAGGTAATCATATTTCCTGTCATTTTCTGAGCATTTGAGATACCCCACAACTTCCAAAAGGCGTTTAAAAAGAAGGATTCACTCAACATAGCAAGATTAAACAAATACAGAGGCAATCAACGGAAAATACAGACGGTAAAACAAACACCCTCAAGTCCACCCCCACAGCAGATGTGGTAGATAATCATCTTGCAAGTCACTCGAAACATTTCATCACGGCCTTGTTGGAGACAGGGAAATGGAAAGTTTCCCATCAGCTCTAGAATGCAAAGAGCCGAGATGGGTAGGGTCCATACAAGACCCCTGCTCAGAGGTCGCATAGCGCTGTGGCAAGGTTCAGAAATGAGACCAGGGCTCTGTACCTGACCAGTACAGGGACAAGGAGGCTGGACCGCATTGGCTTCAAGTGCTCTCAGTTTCTCTAGGCAGAGAGGACACCAGATAAGGGCGGGGTACTAGTTACTCTTATCAAATACCTTTGGGTAACCCATGGCCCTCCACGCCGGAGCCTTTCAAAACACGGAGAGCAGCTCCCCAGTACACACACACATCCCTTGACCTGTCTGCACCTGGGCAAGTTCCTCTAGCGCTTGCACCGTTTGGGCAAGCCCTTCCCTCCATAGCTAGGGCCTTAATCTGCTGCACCTTACACCTCTTCCCTCCCTTCTGGTTTCCTTTCTCTTAAAAAAAAAAACAACAAAAAACCGCTACCACAGTGCAGTTCTGACTCTGAGGTTTTGAAACCCTCTTCCTGTGAACTCTGATGTGGGCGATAAGCAGCAAAGAGAAGAGGCCTGTGGGTCTCACGTCTCACAGAGGGGCCTTTGTTCTGGGCACTGGAAGATTAGAGGTGGGTCAGGTCTGATGAGACTCTGAGGGTGTTAAACCTCTGCATTGGAGACCCGTAGGTTATTCGGGGCAGGCTGTGACTTTCTAATAATCCGCTGTCCAGCAGCCTCAGGTACTCATAGGGCCGTGAGCTCCTTATTTATACATGCTCGAGTCTAAGATGCAGGAGTGTGGGAAGTCAAGAGGGGCTCTGTGCTGCCAAAGGTCTTTATAGCTGAACCCACGCTGGTCTCCATTCCTTCATCCAATTCACACCTCCCCTAAGGGCCAGCCCTGGGTTTCTGGGCATCAGGCTGTTCTCTGAGGGACCAGGAGACGATGCACCCTTCTTCTGTAGCTTCAGGCCTGGGCACACATGTGGAGAGAGGACCTCTGGTACCAGTCTTGCTAAAGATGCTGAGGTATCTGAGCCAGGCTGTCATTCGTACGTGGTTGGTTCTCTTGCTTAGCTTCTGTGGCAGGCATCTGGCTTCTCAGTGGTCCAGATCTTGCTTTCCTGATGCTCTTAGCAAATGCTCGCTCTCAGCCCTATGCATTCCAAGGTCCATCTGGGATGCTTAAGTACATGAACTCATTTCAAATGTGGAAAGCAAAAACTCAAGGACACTCACCATTCCTTTAACGGAGAAGGAAACTGAGGCCTGAGAAAGTTGGGTGGGTTGTCCGGCATCCTTAACCGAGAACAAAGTTAAAAGTGGGTCCCTCTTCCTCTTTCTTCTTTTTCTGCAATAAACCACAAATACATTTAGTTTAAAATAATTTTGTATACATACAATTTTACCACTTACTGAAGATAAAAAAGAAAATTTCCATATTAGCTGTATATGTATCTGTTTGGTTTTTTACATTAAAAATGTAAATCTTGACTTAATATTTGACCTTTCAGGACATGAGGCATCTTGAATGTTTTTCAGAGTTGACCAATATTTTGTCAATACTGAGAATGCCTCTTCACATAACAATACAGTTCAAAGTGGCCGAGAGATGTTCAAGGTCATTTTAGAATTTGTTAGGAAATCTGTCTTAATCCCAAGTGACTGTTCATGGGCTCCTACAACAGGGTCGTGTGCACTGGTGCTCACCATCTAGAGCAGTGGTTCTCAACCTTCCTATGTTGTGGTGACCCCCAACCATAAAATTATTATTGTTGCTGTTTCGAAACTATAATTTCACTATTACTCTGAATAGTAATGTAAATATTTTTGGAGATAAAGGTTTGCTAAAGGGGTTGAGACCCACAGGTTGAGAACCTCTGATCTGGAGCATGAAAAGAACATCCCAAAAAGAAAAGAATTTTTTTTTTCTTCTTGTAGTGCTGGACAAATACTTCGCCACAATCTGCCTCCAACTTTGCTCTGCTCCTTTCCACAGAAGGCTGCCCTGAGGGGGCTGTGCCAGCAGGTGCCTTCTGACCCATGGGTACACTCAGCCTGTTGGAGGCAGAAAGCCGGGCAAGGGCAGGACACAGGACACCTCCTTCAGGGTGCCACAACCTGGCTGTCTGCCCTAGTGGAGGCACAGTCCTGTCCGGTGCTCGGTCTGCTCATTTCAAGCTCCCTGCTGTCTGATATCCTCTGTTGCTTGGTAAGACAGTGGGATGGGTTGCTGATCTTGGTCAAGGTTCTTCCGATCTTTTGTATATCCGCCAAGACCTCTAACAATAGTCTCTTTATGGAATGTTCTTTCACTGGCCAATTTGCGTGTGCTGTCTGCTTCCTGGTAGGAACTTGCCTGGTCCATACTAGCCAGCCAGCTCATTGGCAAAGACCTCTGGAGCTGCTGAATCACCATAGGCCGAAACTTGGCACATGGAGGTCACCTCTAATGCCTGCCCTTTGCCCTGGCTCTGTTCATCAGCCCCTGATTCATCCCCCACTTTCCCTCATACTTCCCTCCACCTGTTGCCCCCCCCCCAGATGTCTGGAGAATAAGAGCCCAGCTGCACAGGCTCATGACAACTGTAGCCACCTGTGATGCACGCAGAAGTGTTATTCAGTGAACCCTAATGTCTTTGAGCATCACTAGTTAGTCACAGGGGTCTGGGATCCTTGGACCATGCATCTTAGAAGCAGGGTGATCTCAGTTTGCAGGGAGATTCCTTTTCTCTGGGGATCTTTGACCAGTAAAACTTATTCATTTACCTACTCACTTATAAAAAATGTAGAGGGGCTGGCTCCCTAGCAGGCCCACCTTCCAAAGAACTGGGTATCACTTACCTAGGGGGTCTGTCCCTGGTCCCGGGCCAAGGATGCTTCCACTTCATCCCATCCACTTGTATTTTACAAGCTTCATCATAAGTACCCTGCCCATTGTCCACACTCTCCACTGAGCTCTTTGCCATCTAGACCCTGGCGTGTGTCTACGTAGTTTGCCATTATTTCTCCTTGACTGGGCACACTAATGCTAAGCATCACTTGTTGGGAAGATGTTAATCAATGACCATGCAGGCTTATCTAAGTGACTGCTGAAAAACAAAGGTCTATTTGTCTGCCAAGCACATCAACATATGTAAGCCCAGGGCGGACTCTGATCTCTGCTGAACCTCAAATTAAGGGCGGGACTCTTACCAAAGTCTCCGAGCTTTAGGGTTCTCATCTGATAAGACAGATATTAGAATGATATCCATGTCCTATTGTTTTACAGTGAATGCTCATAAAATTGGGGACTAGGAACAGCATATATTTGTCCCATGGTTTCTATGGACCAGGAGTCCAGACATGACTTAACAGGATGCTCTTAGCTGGGTGTAATCAAGGTGGAATCAAGTCCAGGGTGCATCTTAATCTGGGGTTCAAATGGAGATGGACCCGCCTGCAGGATCAGGAGCATTCCTTCTGGCTATGGAACTGTGGCTAGTCTTGCTAGCCAACAGCGGTTCCTAACTCCCAACGGTTCCTTTCCAGGAGGACTTCTCTATAAGCCTTTCTTAGATCCCTGATGTTGATGTCTTCAGAGTGGATCTCTGGCCGCTAGCAAGGCTAGGACTTTGATAATATAGTGACGGCAGTGGCTATCCCACCTTTTCCTTACAGCTATGACTGAGACAAGGGTTCTGCCGCACAGAGGGGGAGCGGCCACAGGAAGGCAAGATAATGGAAAGTACCTTTAACCTGTCTCTTAGCGATCCGACCTTTGTTCCATGGGACTCTTAGGGGCCTAGGTGTGAGATGAAGGATGCCCTTGCACCTAGCACAGGAATGACACAGAAGACAATGAGGAGCAGCTGTCGTTTCTTTGGCCTATTTTGAAATGCTGGCCGATAGCAGGTCCTCAGGCCCCGCTCTATGCCTGATCACGTCCACCAACCTATCTCTGCCTTTTCTACTACTTTTCTGGATGTTGGGGTCAGTGGGATTTGTCACACGGCACTGACCAGGGTGGTCAACAGATGTTCTTGCTATTATAAACTGTTTCTGGAAGATGAGGCTAGTGGTATCTTGATCATTTTCCCAGCCTCTCTTTTGACCTTCCCATGGGGAGGACGCTGGTATAGTTCAGCTAGTCCATGAGTGTTAAACTAAAATGCTTGCCAGGCGGTTTAATGAAGCCCAGGACTGCAGCTCCCGGGAATCTGAGGAGGTTGGAAGGCAGTGTGTGGGGGGGGGGTAGGCATGGGGTGAGGGGAGAGCATATCTTAGATGACAAGGCTGGCGGGGGGAGGTGTGGGGAAATCTGGAAGGTTCCAGCGCCTAAGACCCTGCTCCATAACCCTGGTGGTCATGTTTACCCTCACACCTCCCCCAATAGGCTTTCTTCAATTCTTGCTCAGCTATTTCTCCATCCCTTCTAAGTAGTGTCTTCATGGACTCTGTTGAAGGGGGAAGAAAAGGCTAATGCTTTCAGAGATGTGGACTGAGCTGGGCTGGGAAGGAACTTGGACTTGGAGCCAAAGTTGTCTTCAGGTTGCAAGTGGAAGTCATTGAGCTCTTTATAGATTTCACTTCGACCATCTTTTTTCAGTCTTTGAGGTGATGGAACTTAAGCCTGGGGGAGGGAATGAGCCTTCCCCACTCACGCAGCTCTGGAATGGTGGGTGGGGAGGCCGCTAGTCTGGGAGCTCCTTTCTCTAACAGTCCTCACCTGTCTGCTGTTCACTGGTGTTGGCAGGACAGGCCTGCCCCAGCTCCAGTCCAGCCTTTCACACCGAGAACTCGGACTCCTGACCCCGGGTTTCTTCTTTCCCATCCTTCAGCTCCTCAAAGTACTGCAGCCGCCTGGTCACCCTATGCTCGCTCGCAACGTGTCCAGCATCAACAGTGACTGCAAAGATTCTCTCCTAGCAGGGACAGAAGCAGTTTGAGGCGTGCATGCCTGGGCAGCTGAGGGCTTCAGAAAATAAAACAGAAAGTAAATCCTGTCATTTCTGGGCAAGGTCACAGTCCCAGGAGTCTCCTCAGAGGAACAGAGGACCCCTTAGCTCTAGGAAGGAGTGGTGGGGGTTACATGGAGCTGTGGCTCTGGCTCACCTGTACAGAGGAGGGAGTTGACCAGACTTCGAGCTCTGAGGTAGAAAAGTGGAGGATAAAGGTTCCAGTGCCACAGCCCCAAAGTCAGGAATCTTACCGTGCAAACATGGAAGGCGGCCCCGAAGTCAGGAATCTAAACGTGCAAACCCAGAAGGCATCGCAAATCCATTGCGGGGAAGGGTTTTGTCACCCCTGAAAGAGCTAGGGGTCAGCTCTTGGAAAGTCTGTCTTCAGGGTTGGGAAGTGGGGAAACGAGGTGCCTGTTTCTTCTGCAGCCAGAATAGGTATGGGAAGAGAGAGAGGTGGCCAGACTGAGAGATAAGTGCTGTGTGTCTCTGCTGGGCTGGAATGCAGCCTGGGCCCGGCCGGATGAGGGCTATAATGAGAGACATTGTGAGCCCAGGGGCCAGTTGCTGTGAGAGCTCAGATGGGCTGGCATTCCTCCGAAGCACAGCCTGACTTCCAAGAAAACACTCTAAAAATGGTCAGTGACCGAGGGGAAGAGCACACACACACACACACACACACACACACACACACACACACACACACACATACACACGCATGCTCTTCTACCTCCTCTTCCCTACCACAGCATACAGACTGCAGACAGTGATCTCTTCGGGCCTTGGGATGGCATGAAGCCCCACCCACCTACACACGGCTACTTATAGACACATCCATCACATACTGTACTCAGCCGCACAGCCACTTGGAACACACATAACCACAGACAAGTATTCACGGGCTGTAGCATACAATCTCACAAATCACACAGCGAGATGGAACCATGTACAATCAACCATTTCTCCTGTGCGTAATCAGACCCAGCTGCACACAATTACACGGTGATTCGGAGTCACACTTGGCCTGGCATCGCCATACCCAACCACAATCACACTCAGCCACACTCTTCAGCACATGGTAACACGCAGTGCAGGCACAGGCAATCCAGCTAGCCGATCCCAGCAGAGATCATAGGGAATGATAAGGCCAGTTGTGAAGTGGGCCTTGACTCAGCATTGGGAGCAGGGGCTGGAAGGACCCGGTTCTCAGAGTGGAAGGTAGTGAGGACCCTGTCGAGTCAGGGATGGAGAAGTCCACTCTGACCTCCAGAGAGTCCACTTCCTGATCGCCCCTTCAAAGTAGCAGAAAACAGGAAGGTTCCTCTCTCTGCTGACAGAATCCAGGACCAGATTCTGCCTCCTGTGCTACACACCCCTTCCCCTCTGCCCCCCTCCACCCCGCCGCTGGCCTGCTGCAGGAAGCTGGGATCAGCCAGACTGCAGTGAGTCATCTGGAATGGGGTCAGGAAGGCCAGGCAATGGGTGACCACAGGGCTTGTCATTGCTGGAGCTTCTGAGGGTAGGACTGCTGTTCACCAGAGGTTACCCATCAAGGGCCAGAGAGAGACACCGTAGTGGCCCATTTCTCAGCCAACCTGTTCTCAAGGCCTCTTGACTCTCTGCAGACTCCCAGGAAGCAGATGGCAGGGGCTGTCTATGTGGTCCTCAGCTAGAATGAAAAGGACAGCCCTGCTTCCCAGACCCGTGACCCATGCATTCATGTAGCTCTTGTCGAGTGCCTACCACTCCAAGGTGCATGCCTCTACCTTCTGGTGGCTCTAGGGCACGGACGTGTGAGAGAGAGTAGGTTGAAGCAGCTAGGGCCAGCTGCTTTGTGAGCCCTGCACAGCCCGCCCCTGCTGTGGGGTTTGGTTAGTGGCCTTGAGATGCACTCACTTCTCTAGAGTCCAGAATCACTTCTTCAGAGCTGAAGAAGATGTTAAGTCTGACATCTGAGGGTCATCTTTGTAAGCCGATGGCCTGCTGCCTTCTGCAGCAGGCTGATTCTTCTGCTGTCTGGGTGTCATGGCTGACGTCCACTATCACTGGACCAGGATAAGGTGGTCCTTTCTGGCCTCAGAGTAGTTGCTCGAAATCCTGTGAATCGAACACATGTATGCTAATGAAGCCACCCTGTTAGGTGGGGGAAACAATGTTCCCCGGTGTCCGGTCCTTGGCTGGACTCCCCCACATCCCTCTCAGGATTCTTCCTCAAACAAGATGGCTTTCCCCACCATCCTTTCTTCTTTGTCGCAGGGCTCAGCCTGTCTCTTTCTCTGGGACACCAACATCAGAAGGCTGCATCCTGTTCCCACTGGGTTCCTTTTCTGGCTATCTCTGAACGTGAAGAGACACTGGCTTTCCTCCCACTCCCTCTAGTTAGATGGGGGAAAGCCGCAGAGGTTCGGCAATTCAGAAAGTTCTCCTGTCCTGCCCACCAGCCGTCATCTCAGCCTCCAACTACAGTGCAGTGCCTCTCAGATAGAGACGGTGTTTAGATGTAAAAACCCATAAAAACACAAACAAAACCAGGGGAAATTGGGTACACTATTATTATCATTCTTTTTAATTGTTGCTGGTTTTTCAAGACAGGTTTTCTGTGTAGCCTTGGCTAACCTGAAACTCACCCTGTAGACCAGGGTGACCTCAAACTCGGAGATTCTCCTGCCTCCTCACGTGCTGGGATTAAAGGCATACACCACCACCACCTGGCTCATATTACTTTTTATTTTAGAGCAGGAAAGATAAGAGCTTTCTAAGCAGGAACCCACGAAACTCTGACATATTTAAATGCATGAAGTTAGTCCAGTTTAGGCAGCAAAAGCTCTAAGTCTCTACAAAATTAAAACACAAAGGACAAGCTGGGAGAAATGTCTATGGCAGATGAAACAAATGGTTTGTATCCATGAGCTACAAAGAGTTTTCACAAGTCAACAAGAAAGGGAAAAGATAAATAAACCAACCACGAGGAGAACAAAGGGCGGGGCGAACGACTCCTACAAGATTTACAATTGGCTGGCCGATGAGTACATGAAGAAATACTAGCCCTTGTGATTTCAAAAAGCCAGGTCAGACCTATGAGGGCAATATGAAAATATGAAAACGAGGAAGAACGTTTACAAAACAGGAGAGAAAAGACACGTCCAGACGTTACACTTAGCAATATCTCTTACAAACTGGCAATGTGTAAGCCCTTTGACCCAATGACTCCATGTGCAGGAATTTATTCTAAAGACACATTATCATATTTTGATATTCATAGAGCTTTGGGGAGACAGTGTTCACAGGGCTGGGCTCAGGTTCTCTCTGCCCATGTAGCACCTGGGGCATTCAAGTTTCATGGTCCAGAGCTTCTCCTTGGTTCTCCTTGAGCCCACATACCTATCCACCCCACATAGGTCCCTACCTGCCCTTTCCCAACAAGCCAGGTTTCTTTGGAAAATTCCACTAACTTTGGGAAAGCTGTCTACTCCTCAGCTCCAGACTTGGGTGGGCTTGAACCCAGTCCCTCAGGACTTTCCAGCCTCCCCGGTGCCATTGATCTAGATGTGGGCACCTGCTCTTAATCTGTGCTCTCATGACGTATCACAGGAACTCGGTGGAAGTCCCAGGTCAGATGGTTTTTCCCTATAGTGTGGCCAGTTGTATGACTCTGACTACTTTAGCTATTTTTAATACAAGAATGAAGTCTGAGCCAAGAAAATCTTTGGATCCAACTACACTCAAATTCCATGCAGTCCCTGGGCTTTTCTGATGCGGGAGGCAATACATGTTCTCGGATGTCTGAACTGGCTTGGGAGAAACGTTTGTGAGCTTGCCATGGAAGCTTCTCTGCAAATACATAATCTCTCCCTCTGGCGGACAATAGGGTTCCACACCTCTAGGAAGCTCAGCCCCAGAGAGCAAAGGTCTGTCAGTTCTGAGGAGCTAGGGAAGCCCCAACTTCCTCCACCCAAGGCTTGGCTTCTTTGGAATAGGTCTGGGATGGTGTGAGGAGGAGACAGAATCTCTTCAAGCATCTGTTCTGGTGGTATCACTACTCAAGGACCCTGGCATCCATATACCCAAAGAGTCTGGAATGTTCTGGTGGAATCTCCACCCTGAGCCCCATCCCCCACCTCTCTCCAAACCCTGCTACATTTCAGAAAGCCCAACAAATAATGGCTCCTCCCCCAGAGATGCTCAAAACCACTCCAATAGGGTATTTAAATTGCCCCCCAGAAACCAGACAGGGTTTTCCAGTCTCTCCTGTCTCCTCTCTTGAGGGCTGAAAACCCATCCAGGAGTGTTTTACTCATTAAACCTGGGTCTTTTCTAATTCATTTTGATTTGGTCTGATTTGGATTGCTGCGCCGGCAGAGAGCTTATCGGGATGCAGAACCTTTTTAGCTTCCTGGAGCAACGTGAACAAGCCAATAGGGTTATACTACCCTACCACAGTAGTTTCAACTGAATTCATCAACAGAATACTCACTGGTGGCTTATCCTTGTGGAAGATGCTCCGGAGCCTTAAAAAGATGGAGACAGGGCATGGTGGTGCACATCTGGAATTTCGGCACTCCCAGCACTCCAAAGGCAGAGGCAGTAGGATTGCTGTAAGTTTGAGGTTAGACTACTTGACATAGAATAAGTTTCAGGACAACCTGGGATTCATAGAAGGACATATAAATTTAAAATATAAAATAAGCCAAAAAAGATGGAGAAAATGTCTTTACATACTGGCAAGAAAACTAGCCCCAAACTACCTCAAAGTTATCTCTAAGGCTGGATCCTTGACTTTACTGCAGAAAGGAATTTTCGGAAGGGCCAGTATGAAACACAGTTGGGGGTTATTAAAGGCATCTTAATAGAAAGAGAGGCACCCAAGGGAAGCATAATTCACCTAAGTACACTAAGCGCAGGTTGACTTCCTTGTCTTCACCATAGCCATATCTATGGTTTTGATGAGTTTTGAAGAAATTATCTCCAAGGGTTGCTAAGCAGCTGAAAGGAGACCACAGGGCGGTTCCTAGCATACACTGGTCAGGATTACTGTTGATAAGGTTAAAGCCTAGATCATAGGAGTGTGGGGAGTTAGAATGTTTTTACTGTAAACACTAGTCTTGTGTGAGATTCCTAGAAAGTATTGGGGTGGAGCAAGGCCACACTGAAGGCCATTAATCTTAAGCATGGTTCATTGTTAATTTAACATTATTATTTGAACAATCACATCAACACAGCTCTATAAAAGAAATGCCGTCTCTAGGGCAGCAGTCTTCACAGCAAATGCTAGCTGGGCTGGAACGTTGGATGTTCAGCTAGCCAGAGGCTTCAGCAGACTCTGAGTGAGGGGCTCTGTTCCTGCCCAGATCCCTGTCACTTTCCTTGTTTTCCTAGCCAGCCTCTTTTATTTTGTTACAACTCTGCTTCTGGGGCTGCAGAAATGGCTCGGTGAGTAAAGTCCTGAGGCCCTGAGTCCACACCCTCAGCGTACATGTTATAAATAAACCAGTGACAAACAAACAGGCTGGGAGGCAGAGACAGGAGGGCTCTGAGGGCTCACAGCCCAGCTAGTTCAGTCACAGTGTTAAGCTTCCAGGTCCGGTGAGAGAAATCGTCTCTCAAAATAAGGTAGAGAAACCATTG